TTTTTTTTTTTTTTTTTTTTTTTTTTTTTTTTTGAAGGCGCGTTGGTAGAGAAGTGCAAATTGTCCTTCGGGACATCCGTTAATTGGTAGACGTCTTCCCAAACCAGCATCACAACTTGCACATGCCAGCAGTCAGTCCCGGCCTCCTTTTTTTTTTTTTTTTTTACCCAATCAGAGAGAGGGGTAGGCCAGGTCCCAGACTATCAGGTTGGAAAGCACACATCGGTTGCCGGACGTCACCCCGAAACAGAATCTCAGCCCCAAGGAGTCAGAACCCGGACCTGGCCTACAATAGACCGCCCAGCCTGAAGGGGAATTGGTAAAGAGCACCCTGTCCCAGGGAAGAAAGGAACACTCTATATCGGGTGCTGTTGTCCACAAGCCTTCTGCTGTACTCTCCGGCTGCATGATTTTTCAGAGTGGGTGATAGGAGGTAGTGCTGCTAGAATACCACGGCCATCTGGCGGCCAGGTTCTGGCTGAAGAGGCAGTACTCCTTTTCTTCATACTTCCTGTTTTCGAACCATGTATCAGTAATACCTGAATGAGGGACGCTGGACCCGTTTTCCAGCAGGTGCAGCTCCCCACCAATAGACCGGAGCCAGTAGCTGAGCTGCTAGTGGTGGATGCTCATACCAACACCACTTTTCAGTATGCCCTCACACTAGGACGACACAGTTCAGATTCTCTCCAAAAAAAAAAAGGACTAGGTGGGGGGGCGGGAACTAGAGAGCTACAGTATGTATCTGGCACCGCCTGCTCAGTCAATCCCCTGGATGCCAGGGTAATCAATGCTGGCAGGACTCTCCCACGATGTTTCTCGATCAGACAAGCTGCAAATTTCATCTGTATGGGACGCTGGGCGCGCTTCCCAGCAGGTGATGCTCCCCACCAATAGATGGAGCCTCTCCCCAGGTGTTAGAGATGTCTACTCCTATCAGCATCTCTAACACTGGCGGGGGTGTTGTTATAAAATTAAAAAAAAAAAAAAAAAAAAAAACAACGACTTTTTTACTTAGTGACTGCGGCGGCCGGATACATCCACATGTGGTCCTAAATGCCGCCCGCGACATTTACTTCTTTTTTTTATTTGTTTTGGGAAAAAAAGGAATCCATTGTCCCCCTTTTCCTGTTCTTCCAGGCCTTTTTTTTTTGCCTGAGTTGCGTGAACTTCGCCTCCGTGGGGCATGGGGCCTGCAGCACGATTCGACTCGGGAGAACAGCACGATTCGACTGGGGGCTACTGGACCAAAATGGTTGGCGCCACCGCCAAAAAACGAGAAAAAAAGGCGCGGGTGCGTGCGCCCATTCGACTCGGGAGAACAGGCGCGGAAAGGGAGAAAGGAAGGAAGGAACGAGCGCGGGATATGGGGCTTCGCTTCAGAACTCTCTCTCGAAATGTGCAAAAGGAGAGTGAATTCGGCTAGAACATGGAAAGATACACCGCCACGTTTTTTTTTTTTTTTTTTTTTTTTTTTTTTTTTTTTTTTTTTTTTTTTTTTTTTTTTTTTTTTTTTTTTTTTTTTTTTTTTTT